AAAAGAGACAAGGGAACTAGTCTGTCTTTTAGAAAGTTGATGAAAGTTAAACTATTCCTGAGGCAAAAGGTAAATATTTAGGATCGTATTTGTCACTCAAATATAAGCTCTTTTACTTCAAAACTTGATGAGTCTGGCATGTGACTTAATCTCTCTGAAATCAAATTCATCTAAAAGAGTGAATAAAATCTTTTTCTTAGGTGGTTGAGAGTAATGAGATAAACAAAACACATGATCCGCCTCATATTAACATAATATAAAATTACAAACATTTTGCAAATAACAAAGAGTGCTGAGTATATCATGGACCTGTTATGATCTTAAAAATATTTTTTGAGGTAAGTATTATTACCCTCTTTTTACTGATGAAAAAATTGAGCCTTGGAGAAGTTAAGTACCTTGTTCAAAGTCACACAATTAAGAGGTGGCAGACACATAGTATTCCTCAAATCTTAAAACTCTTCCTCACTCCCTGCCTGTTAGGGGCAGGGAAGGTGATTCTTTAAATTGTTTTCAGTTGATTTTTCTTCCTCCCCACAAAGGGAACTAAGTCATGGTAATGTAGGATCATTTGAATCATGCTAGGATCTTCCTAAGTATCCCCTGGATTTTCTTATTAGCTGGTGGTAGTACTATTATGTCCTGGTTATTTTTACTACATGTAGGATAATAGAAATCAAGAAGCCAAAAGACTGTCATGTACACATCCAACAAACCTTATCACATAACCCTTGAACTTCAGTTTTCTCATAGAAAAATGAATATGTATATTATATATATGTCATTCTATTGCTTTTTTACTATACTAAAGGTAAATATATGTGGTTTTTTTAGGTGTTAGGTATTATATACAGATTTATTGCAATGACTGTCACATAACAGACATCTATTTGATAATAGAAGCTGCACTTCATTCTGTGTAGTGTCAAACATCAGAAATCTCTTTGTACTTTCTGAATTTATAATCTTTCTGAATAAAAAGAGTTTCTAAAACTGCTCACACTCTGCTGTTTGCACCCACTCAATCCACTGGCAGCGAGACTGTCTTGTTCAGAAATGAAGAAACAGACGTTGACAGTGACGCTTCTTTTCAGTCCTACTGTCACAGTTACTGAACACACCATGTGAAGCAAATTTCTTTGGATCTCCTTCTGTAGCATCCTCTTTTCAAATAGAAAAACGTCCATGGAGAGCTAAACTAGAACATTCCACAATGATGAAAGTTATGCTACCCATCACTTCATCTTAGAAATCATCTTGGGACATGAGTATGGAATTGATACTATAGGAGAATTGAACTTACTGACTCTGGCTCTGTGTGGGCCAGAGGTGTATTTTAAGGTCACAGAGTACCACTGTGGCTCAGTGAAAGTCAGGAGCCACAGAATAGGAGGGAGGCAAAGGGGCAGGAATGGTGAAGGACTAGAGACAAATCTTGGTGTGTTCCAATTCTACTAAAAGTGGCCTAAATTTAAGCCTTTCATCTTGGATGGAAAAACAAAACAAGAGGGAATAAAAAGCTATATGCAAGATGCAGACTGTTGAATACGGTTTGCTTCTTTCTGTAGTCACACGTGAGATTTGGGGTCAGCTGGAGCATGTGCACCCATGGGCAATGAGAACAGGTTAGGACACTGCTATTGTAAGGGTGGAAAATGCTCCACTCCCTTCCTACCTGCTCCCTACCCCACCAGTACTCATAGCTCTGGAGGCATGAGAGTAGAATTATCCAGCACAATCAGGAAGATCTAAAATCAATCAGTCAATTTCTCAGATCAAGATTAGTACAGGGAAGCCCCTGGGGATTCCTCTGAGTCACTGAATATAAACAACTTCATTTTGATGCTTGTCATTGCCTTCTAAGGTACTCAAAGCTCAACATCAGCCTTTCTTAACAAATCCCTGAATTTTCATTGAACACTTCCACTTCATATTGAGCACTTCAATTAATAAACAAACACAGTGGGACTGGCAGGGAGAACCTTACCTCCATTTTGTACCTAATTTGGCTCATAAAAGGGTTGTTAGGTAAGTACAACTACATAGGTGGAATGTGGGGAATCACACATGCCCTCTCTCCTGGTCCTCCTCTCTTTTTACTTTCTCTACCTTAGAAGCTTCCCTAAAGGGGATGATTGGTAAATTGGACCTGTGAAGCTTTTCACAAAACATTCCAATCAGGGAATGACTACTAAATTCCAGCTACAGTTTTAGGTTAGAGCCGCCCAATGTGGGGAAGGTGACATGGCCCCCAAAGCAGGTGTGTAATGCAGCCTACAGGTACATGGACAATTGTGTGCCTCCTACCTTGAAGGGCATGTGTGGGTCTAAGAGCAGGGAGCTGTAAAGTGCAAGGGGTTGAGTGGTCTTTTCCTCCTCTACATTGGGGATAATTTCTCCCTCCTCTACACATGCCTGCTTACTTTAGCTAACCCTCCTGTGATAGTTAACTGTGTCAACTTGAGTAAGAAATGCCCGGTTGAGTTGGATCGGCATAGTTCTGGGTGTATCATAAATAGAGATTTACTGAAGACAGGAGATCCATCATAGGGTGGCTTGTTGCCTGAATAGAATAAAAGGGAAACAGGGAAGGAAGGCTTGCTTTTCTGTTCCTTTAGAAGAGCTCCCGTCTTCACCCTCACCTTGGATGTCGCCTCCTGGTTTCCACTGCAGATCCTTCAGTCTCCTGAAACAGATTCACACAGGACACGACAGTGAGCTCCAGGCCTTTGACTGGATCCTTCAGCTCTCCAGTGCACAGATGACCCTTTTGCATGCTTCCATATCTGACTCTGCGGGTAGCCATTGTAAGCCAATCTTGTAAATTCTAACATATGTTTATAACTTGCAGTAAATCTGTTTCACTAGTTAGCACTGACTGATACACTTCCTAAGAAGATGGTGGATCCTTCCCTGGATCCTTGCCTAAATATTATGAAGGCAGAAAAGTGCTCAAAGAATTATAGTTCAGCTTTCTATTTCCAAACAAGAGTCTTCGAGGTTCTAGTTTGGTGAGCAGCTAGCTAGTTTGTGACAGAGTTTGCTTCTCCATTTACCAAATAGCTACACTGCTTTTCCTATTATGTGTAACCCTTTGCTAAGGGAGATAACCTCACATGCCAACCCAGTCACTAAATCCACATGAATATCTCACGTGACACACAGCTCACTTCACCAGTGTGGGTTATAGTTTCTATTGGACTGGAAACTTATAAACTAAAACTATTTTCCCTCAACCCACCTCTTCAGAAAGAATGGACAGCAGTTACTAGTTCACAGACATTTTAAGATGATGGGGGACAGGGTCTATGAAAACATCCTACTCTTCTGGGTGTGGTGGCACACCTCTATAATCTCAGCACTTGAGAGGCTGAGGCAGAAGGATCACTGTGAGTTCAAGCCACCCTGTATTACATAGCAAGACCTTGTCTCAAAAACAAACAAATCCTACTCTAGAAAGTGGAAGAAAATTCCTCCATAAGCTTATAGTGGCTGCAAAGAAAGTCCTTATCCTTTGTTTTGATAAGTCCTCGAATCTGCTCCTGAAAGAGAGAACCTTTCCTGCTTGTTATCTTCTTTAGGTGTTACATGAAAAGGTCCTTGAGGAGAATGGCATTTTCAGAGCCTTATATATTTCAGAGTTCACTTCCCACTTGTGAAAGATTAAAGCCCAGGAATGGCTTTAAATTTGAAACTGAGAAAGGCTTCTTAAATTTGAGTATGTGGGTATTTATGAGTTTTAGTCATTTGTTCTAACATTCACAGAGCTATAGAATTTAAATTTCTTAGTATGATTTTAGATTTGTCTATTCTTAAAATTAGAGTGGAACCATATCATGGTCAGTTTTCCTGATTTATCCAGAGAATTTTGGTTTACTTGAGATTATTATCTGATTAACACTGAAAATACTATTTTAAATACAGTTGAGTTATAATATGGCTTACAATCAGATAGAAAATATATGTCCTCTATATCCTTGCTTCATCCTGACATGAACCATATGACTAAAATAATATGAGGGTATCCATTTTAAGATAGGACTTTGTCTTAGTTACTTTCTCATTGCTGGGACAAAAGTTAAAGGAGGAAAGGTTTAAGAGGGCAAGTAATGACTTAGAAATTTATACCTTGGCTCAACATCACATAGCTTGTAAAAACCAGAATGGGTGAGTTTCTAGAGTGTTTTAGATTCCCTAAAAACATATGTTAATTATTTCTCTTTAGCCTGTGATCTTACCAGTTCTTCAAATAATGTTCTTAAATACTTGCTGTGGGCCAGCACTATACAAGATGTAGAAGTAGAGGATGAAGGTAAAATCTTAATCATTTCATATTAGGACAAAATGGAAAAGAGTTTCAAGCTAGATTATAATTCATAGTATTCAAGGAAATAACAGAGAACAGAATATGAATGAAAGCATAATGAAAATTGGAGATCAGTCCAAGCCAGGATTAGGTATTTATTCACACTTGCCTATCTGTTTATCCATTTCCAAATTCTACATCTATAATATAAACTTAGAAAAAGAATTGCCTGTGACTTCTCCCAGTGTGCAACAGCATTGCTACTCCGGTACTAACGGCACAGTCCTAATCTGCTACAGAGAACCTATGAAGGAGTCAGAGTGCCTTTTGATGAACAAATGTGGAAAAATAGCAGTGGGAAACAGGCTTCTTGGGACAACAGAAGCACAAGATATATGCAATTATTACACAAGTTACTGAAATTCATGCCATTCGCATCCCCATCTGATGTTTTACTGATGAAGAAGTTACATAATTGACAGACAATAAAATCAAATGAAATTTATGCTTAAACATATATCTCTCCTTTTTATCTTCCCTATTTCCTTCCCTTTTTTGTTCTCAATGAGACAATTGCACTGACTTCAGGCTTCTTTTTTGGCGAGTGTCCCAGGCCAGCCCTCAGGAGCCCTGTGTCAGGAGAGCATTTGTGGCCCAGCTGCAGGTTTGGAGACAGCCCACAGCAGCCTAGAGATCACTGTGCACTTCCCGCACAGAAGTAGGTGCCCGAGTGGCTGGGCTGGGCACCTGTGATATGCAGGGAACTTTGCTGCTTTTTCTCATCCAACTTGGCAGTTATGTTTCCATGACTCTTTTCATCCCCAGCTTTCTGTAGCATCATCAAGAAGACAGGACCTCCACCATTCTGTCTATACCAGTGCAAGACATATAAAGTCCTTGATGAATTGCAATCTATGGTGAGATTTTCTCCCTCTTGGGTGACCAGAGACTGATTCTGCCACAGTTCTTGGCTGCTGACCCCTGTTCAAAAAGACAATGTAAAGGAAACATAAGAAACCCTCAGAAGATCTTCATGATCATAGTGGGGATGGTGACTCTCTTCCCCCTCCCACATTCCCCGGGCTGTAACATCATCACACCAAGACAGAATGCTATGTTTAACATGTTCTGGCTCTCAAAAGGCCCTCCCAGGACAGGAGATGACTCTGCCTGCCCTTGGGAAGCTCTCATCATCTCAGGACTCCCAGATGAAGCACAGACTCACAGGCTGCCTGCAACCCCAGCATCCCCACAAGTATTTGCAGGAGGCTCTGCATCTCTTGGCTCCTCAGTAAATACACTGAATTTGATTTTCCTGAAAGGCTTCCTCAGTAGAGTCCTTTAGCTTATTGGTCCAGGGGACTACACCAATCAGAGACCATCCTGGGTGCCTGCTTGTCACATTGCCTGACTTCACTCGAGTACTTTGTTGTTAAACACTGCCACCCTTTGGCTAGATAGAGAAATGCTGAGCAACTGATTACTTTTCTGGAGTTAGTTTATATATGAGCTACATCTATATTGCAATAAATTATTCCACTTATTGTGAAAGTAAAAACTATCCAGTTACTCTGCCAGGCTTGAGAAAGTTTCCCCTTTATAATTAAGAGAAAGCAAAGAATTCTGTTCTCTATACTGCAAACTAATTTTTCTTCATTTGGTAATGTTTTATTTGGTTTTTTGGGGTTTTTTTAAGAAAACTACTTTATTAAGGCACATTTGAAATACAATGAATTTCAAATATTTGCTAAGTAAAACTTGATCATTTTTGACATGGGCATACAAATGTGAAATCATCATCACAATCTAGATGACGAACATCTACACCATCCCCCAAAGTTCCATGGTGACCCTATCCCTTGTGCCCCTTTCTAATCCCTCCTGTTAACTCCCCTCCCACATCTTCCCAATCTCAAGACAGTTTCTGACTTGATTTCTTGGTTTTTATCAACTTTCTGCTACTTAGACAATTTATTTATCTTGGTCTATTTTCTCACATGTAAAATAAGAGTAATGAAATTCATCTGACGGATTTGTTGTGACAATTACAAGATGAGATATATCACAAGAAACCAAGAAATGTGGCATATAGAGCACATGAGAGCCACTAGACAGATGTTATAGCTGAAGCTGGACAGTTTTCCAGAAACATCTATCTATTGGTCCTATATGACCCATAGCACATCTTTAATTTTCCTCAACATGGTCCTTCAGATGTTTGAACATAACAGCAATATTCCTCAGTGTGCATGCTATATTTTGGGGGTTTTATCTATTTTCACTGTTGCCTGTTGATTGTACAAAATATTGAGTTTCAATATTTAAACTATAATTTACTCACCTCTCCATCCACTACCAACACTTACACCTGCCTCTCCTCCCCAATATTCCTTTCTCTTGTTTAATAATAGACTCCCCTCCTTCTTTCATGTCATCTTTTTACATTCCACATGTTAGGTGGAGCCTACGAGCCTTTCTAAGTTTGGCTTATTTTGCTTAACATAATGATCTCTACTTGTATCACTTTTTCTGCAAATGACTTGTCATTTTCCTCTGACTAAATAATACTCCATTGTTTGCATATATCACATTCTCTTTATCCATTCATCTGCTGATGTACACCTATGCCAATTCCATATCTCAGCTATTGGGAATTGAGCTGCAATAAACATGGGTACACACATATCCATGTAGAATGCTGACTTTAATTCATTTGGGTGTATACTAAGGAGTGATATAGCTAGATAAAATGGTAGTTCTATTTTTCAGTTTTTTGATGAATTTCCGTACTGATTTCCATAATGGCTATACTAAATTACAATCCCACTCACAGCATACAAGGGTTATTTCCCCTCACATCCTCACCAGCAATTACCATTTTTTCATATTCTTGACAATAGTCATTCTGACAAGAATGGAATGGAATTTCAGTGTAATTTTCATTTCAATTCACTTAATGGCTAAAGATATTGAATATTTTAATATATTTTTTGGCCATTTATATCTCTTCTTTTGAGAAGTGTCTATTCAATTCATTTGCTCATTTGTTGTTTGAGCTATTGCATTTTGGTGTTAAGTTTTTTGAGTGATTTATATATTCTATATATCAATCTTTGTTTGGAAAAGTAGCTGGTAAAGATTTTTTTCCCATTCTATGAGCTGTCTCTATACTTGTTTAGTTGTTTCCCTTGTTGTGCAAGAATTTTACATTTGATATAGTCCCACTTGCTGATTCTTGCTATTTTGTCCTGTGCTATTGGAATCCTTCTATGAAAGTCTTAGCCTGTATAGGTGTATTAAGTGTTTCTCCTATGTTTTCTTTCAGCAGTTTCAAAGTTTCAGGACTTATACATAGATATATGATCCATTTGAATTGAAGTTTGTACAGGGTGAGGGATTGGATTGTATTTTCAATCTTCTACATATGGACATCCAGTTTATCCCTACAACATTTGTTAAAGAGGCTGTCTTTTTTTCCAATGTGTATTTTTGTTCCTGTGTCAGGAATTAGATTGCTGTGGTTTTGTGGATTTGTTTCAGTGTCTCTTCCAATATATTGGTCTACATGCCTATTTGGGGGCCAATTCAATGCTTTTTGTTATTATGATTTCTAGTATAACTTGAAATTGAGTATTGTGATGCCTTCAGCCTTGCTCTTTTTGCCTAGGATTACTTTGGCTATTGTGGGTTGTTCATGTCCCCAGCCCTTTTTTAAAATATATTTTTTAATCAACTCAGGGTCTTCTTAGATTGCTAAGTTTCCCAGCCTGGGCTCTAACTTTTAATCCTTCTGCCTCAGCCTCTCAGCATGAAGGGATTACAGACGTGTTCCACTGAACCCACCTTATTTGTTGTTCCTTTTAAAATAAGGCTAAGAAAAATTAAATCACAGCTAAACTAGAAGGACAGAATTCCAAGGTTGATGCCTGAATTGAGTTTGGAAAACCAAGGTAAACAAAAATTTCAAATATTATTCATCAAGGGAGGAAAGAGGATAAGGGGTATAGAGTTTCCAAGAGGCATTATGCACATCCTCACAAAAAGGGCAATGCTCCAGGTATGCAGAAGAAGTGATGGAGGAAATCATTAAAAGATGGACCCTTTTTAAGTTGAGGTTCACATCCTAATGACACTTAGATTAACACAGCAAGAGAAAGCAGAACTTCGAAAGCTAATAGAGAAAATTAAGTTTCTTCATAGCAAACCTTCATTCAGGTGTTAGATATTTCACCTGAACCATAGAAACCAGGAAATGTGAACTGTGGAATGATTGGGACCAAAACCCGAAAATGTCTTCACCGCATAATGTAGACTCACTCAGTCAAGGAGAAATGAAAAAGCATGTTATGTTAAAAATCAGGTAATACAGTGGAAGAGAATATCTGCAAACACATATAACAAAAATAATTTCATAATTACCTAACATTGCTGTGTTCAGTGTGATAGAAAAAGATAAAGTTTGAACCAGGCTGAAAACTAAGTCACCTGGGGCTCAGGTCTCCCACATTGGAACCTAGAACAAACTGGTGTCTCTAGCATCTTCTAGGTGGACATTGTTGGATGTCTCTGTTCTTGAGTCAGGCAGCAATGAGTTGCATGGTACCCATTCCTACCCATACGAGAACCTTTCTAACATGTATTTTCTCATCTACAGCCCATTTCTAGGTTTGGTATATATTTAGGAGTAAGGAAAAAGGAAGAGAATGGAGAGATGAGAAAAAACTCACAAGCGCAAGGTCCTGAGTTCAATCCCTGGTACCAAAAAAAAAAAAAAAAAAAAAACCCAAAAACAAAAAACAAATAGATAGCCATAAGTCCACAGTAAAATAAATAAATGGCTGAATAGATTAATAAATGGGAGAACCTAGAAGAAATAAATCTCTCCTGTAGAAAATTCCAACTAACTTATACAGATACTCGACCTTCAAGATGGGGCAGCATAAATCCGTACTGCATAAGCATGAATACTGGCTTTCTTCCATTGAGTACAACATGCAAACGGCTAGGGGAACCTTTACAGGGAAAATCTGGGAAAAATCTATTTTAGCCAGACAACCAACTTCAACATCAAAATCCTAAATCATTGACAACATGTACTCTTGATATGATGCTACGAAAACAGCACTCAGCTTCTGTAAAAACATAATCTCAGGCTAAACATGAAATAAAATATCAGATAAATTTCAATAAAAAGACATCCTACAATGAACCTGAGTTGTATTTTTCAATACTGTCAATGTTATCCAAAGCAAGGAAAGTGATAAACTGCTACAGCAAAAATCAGCCCAAGGAGACATGATAGCTAAAGATAATTTGGCATCCCGGATGAGACCATGGAAAAGAAAAAGGACATTAAGTGAAAATTAAGGCAAGCGCAAGGTCCCAAGTTTGATCCCTGATACAAAAAAAAAATTAAGGAAATTTCAGTGAAGTATTGATTTTATTTATAATGTATCAATATTGGTTCATTAATTCTCACAAATATGACATTTGACATGTTAACCATCAGGGAAACTATGGGAATTTATGTGAATGGAGTGAACAGGAAATCTTTGTACTTGCTTTTTATTTTATCTGTAAATATAAAATTCTTCAAAAAGGTTTACTAATTTAAAAAAAGCAGATTGACAGATAAACCAGTTATTGGAATTAGCTGACGTGATTTAAGCATTTAAGTCAGCCATTAGAAATATTTTAAACTGTTTGCAAGGAAAAGGGCAGTATGGTTAAGTAGTATTGGAAATTGCTGCAGAGAAATGGAAACTTTTTTAAACAAACAAACTTGTCTTTATCAAGTCTTTGCATTGATTTGGTACATAAGATCATGCTCTCTGCAAACTCTGACCATTTTACTTCTTTTTTAAGTTGGAATTTTTAAATTTATTTTTATTATCTAATAGTACTGTTTAAGACTTCTAGTAGTTGGATGAAAGTGGTGAAAGTGGATATCCTTCTCCTGGTCTTGGTCCAAGAAGAAAAGTTTTCAATTTTTCACCATCGAGCCTGTTAGCTAAAAGCTTTTCATATATGATCTTTCATATGTTGAGTCCTTGCCTTCTATCCCTATTTGGTAACAGTTTTATCAGAAAATAATGTGGAATTGTGTCTAATTCTCTTTCTGTATATACTGATACAAGTACATGATTTTTATTCTTTATTATTTTATTCTGGTATGTCACATTTTTTGATTGATGTATCTTAAGCCATCCATGTATCCTAGTGGTAAATCCCACTTGATCATGGTATATGATTTTCTCCAATATGATGTTAGATTTAG